AGGGGACGGTTCTGGGCATATCGCCTTCGAAAATGCACCCGTCAAATGTCTGGGAGATTTTTCCAGCTGTGTTTTCTATGTGCTTCCAACTGGTTTGAACGGATCTGACCGGTGTGAATGTTTTGATCAGATTTTGTTCGCGGAGCACCGGCCACCAAAAGGACACACGTCAGCTCCACAAGAGCAGAAGCCGCTGGACAACTACGCGACCGCTGAGCGCGTGTGGCAGGGGCTCCTCTCGGCGCACAGCCTCGGCGATTGCCTCGTAACCATCGCGACTGGTGCGTTACCAAATCATTCCATGGAACATGTAGCGACAAACAGATGTTGTTTTTCGCTCGAACAGGCGTGTATGTTGTCTTCTACTCCATGTTGATCAAATCACTCTTGCTGGCACCACGTACGTCTATCGGTAACATCGTTTAACGATACCGGTATCGTTTTAGGGTGCGCGTATCGTGGGAGGTATTTCTCATTGTCGAGGATTGTCTTGAGGATCAAAGCTGCTAGGTGTTGGCTATACTTTGCCGCGACCGTCGTACCTCTACCGTCCCAGCGTTACCTTTTTCCATACCTTGCTGTCTGTCCGCACTGTCGGTACAATATGGGACAGCCTCGGCGATTGTGTCATTACTACGAATTCGTCTCAGGCGATACGTACATGCGCCTTGCGTGGTCGCTCAGCAAGCCAGGACAAGGCCAGGAAACTCAAACGTGCTGGGTTGCGGATTGTCACCTACCTCTGTGACGTACTTGTGGTGATGCTGTCCCCTCGGCCATAGTACACACGATCGACTGATGAGAAGGGATTCTTCCTCAACAGTGTCGGGAATTTCGTTCGCTTCGCGTGTTCGTTTCCATCCTCCAGGCGAGATTTCAGAGGCTGAGGCTGAGAGGCTGGGCCTGGTACCTAGTCACGCCTATGCAGTTCTCGACATGAAGGAAATCAATGGCACAAAGCTATTGCAGGTGGCGTGAACAACAAATTAAATTCAACACAAAAAGTGAAGAGTTCTTGTTAAAAGTTGGACTCAAGCCTTACGCCCGCTGCAGCACTATGGTATTGTTGTTTTTGTTATGGTAGAGAAGAGCGAAGACAATACACGAAAAACGCACGGGCTCGTTCTTGTACAATATTGATTACCATCGTAGAGATAAGGTTGAACGTATGCTCCTTAGGAGGAAGGTGTGGGTCTCGTACAGTATGTTGTAGGCATCGGGGGTCTACAAGTTTCACCATTAATGTTACGTGATGTCGCCATTTCAATGATAGCACTCTATCACAGGTTTATTCTCGTTAATGTGTTCACGATCGTTTGGTGCTCTTCGACATGTTTTTCTGGTAGATTGTCATTGCTTCGTGTTTTATCCCTCTTTTTGTTTGTACCATTTGGTTTATTTTTGGTGGTAACTCTTTTTTCTCGCGGCATGTGTTTTTCTGTCATATTTCAGGTGAAGGACTCGTTGGGCCGCAAGCGATGGCGCGGAGCTTTCTCCGGCACATATCCCCACTGGACGCAGGCAGTCGTACGGTATGTCACCCAGAACAGAAGGGCTGCTACCATTCATTGTAACACGTTTTTCATGTATTGAAGTCTGTAGTTTTCGAGCTGAGTGCGTTGCATGATATTGATCTGTGTGTATTGAAGGAAGTACGTGGTGACTACTACGATGACAACGCATGTATCATACATGCATCTGTTTCTAGGTGCACCACCTACGCACACACGCAACGATGTCGTTGACACAAAACACCTCATATGTGGAACTCTTCCGCGTAAACGTTCTGTCGGAAAATACTTGTTGCGTTCATTCACACAATTAATCCATGTGCATAGCCCTTCGAAGGGTTCCCAACCACCTGCGCCGCACCCAAATTCTCTGCAGGCGCTCCTCTGCTAAATGTACGGATAACCTCGCTTGGCTGCTGGGTTGATCGTTAAAGAATCCTTATTTTCCTTGTGAAAAGACACAGTAGAGATGGAGGGAGATGGCAACCGAGAGGGTGATAGCTTCTTCGCACGTGCTGAAGAGCATATTGTCCCCTTGGTACCGTAAGGATGCGAGAGAACGCACGGGGGTGCGATCGATTTTCAAAGGGTTTTTTCTCCAAAACCAGGAAGGTACCACTGCCGAAAAGGGTGGTTTGGAAACATCTCATCCATAGCTCTCCTGAGAGGTATCAATTGGCGCTCGCATTCTCCTGGTTTTGGAGAAATTACGCCTTGAAAATGGATCGCACCACCGTGCGTCCTCTCGTATCCTTACGGTAAACGATAGTGAGAGAAAGGGAGAGAGAGACAGAGAAAGAGAGAGAGAGAGAGAGAGAGAGAGAGAGAGAGAGAGAGAGAGAGAGAGA